GAGCAATGAGTAAGAGTGAGACTTTAATTTTGATTTTATTCTAGAATTTCAATTATAAGCAATTCACCAAGTGTCTTGATAAATCAAATAATTGAGATTGATAGATTTCCCCAGTCATAGGCTATAGAAGCAATCCATAAAATCCTCTCATGTTGAGCCTTTTAGATCTATTATCTATAGATAAGCTAAACTGATCATTGTCAAATACATTTAATTGTAGGCTTTGCATTTCATTTACAATAAAGTCAAAATGCTGCATTACTTGGCTGTTACCCCTTCCCCAGCCCTACCTTTCCCTTTTACCTCCCACTCACTACCTCAACTTCTCCATTTTTGTGTTAGAAATTTTGCATATACTGTCCCCCTGCATAAAACATTGATCCCTCCTCATCTTTTCTTGGCTAATGCCATCCTACATTTCTAGCTTCCTTTCAACAGAAAAGTTATCTTTGATTCCCTAAGTTGCTCATCCTATCACATTATGTTATTTTGCTCTGTTTTTAAGTACTTTTTTTTTTAAAGACTTATTTATTTATGCATACAGAGCTGGGGTACAGGCCAGAGGTGCAGGGGTGGTGAGAGGCTTCACCAGAGACAGACTGGGGAACAGAACAGGCTGACTGACAAAGTACACTGCTGAGGGGAGCAGTAGGCAGGTCAGGAGAGGTCTGCTGTGCCATGTGGGTCACCTCTGGGGCCAGGAATCGAACTCATGCTGAAGTGGCTTCAGTTCCTTAGTGCTGTGTTTTAACCCGCTGCGCCATCAGGGAGGGCCATTTTTAAGTACTTTTTTCAGCCTATTAAAAAAGTCCTATTATTATTATGCTATTTATTATTTCCTTTACTTGCTTTTTTCCTGTTAAACTGTAACAAAAGCAGAACTTTTCCCATTGTAACCTCTCCCTAGAATAGACCCAGAATACAATATGAATGAGTGAATGAATAAATGAATGGTTTTATGCTTAGAATAAAATAAAATAGAAATCATTTGATAAGTACCATAAGGCCCCCAAGTATTTGTTGAGTGGATCAAAGCTACATAAGTGTAGAGAAACTGATATTTTAGGAAAAGTTCCCTTTTATTATTCTTTGATGTGTTTCTGAGGCATAAGTATTCTGTTGGGAAGTAGGGGATAGACACAGGAATATCCAGAACTGCTTCCCAGGAAGAAATTCCAGACCATACTTCGTTTCTCTAGAAATAGGTTTTTTTTGACAAGACACAGTTCTGCTTTCTTCAGCAGCCTCAGGCTGAAGCTTACCAAAAAATTCAGGGTGAACATGAGCCCATCCCCAATATTCTATTTTATACTTTCTTATATGCTCTCTTATCTGAAAAAGGCAAATCCTTTCACATGCTCCTACTTATCATCACCCCAGCAGTCTAATGGCTTACCCATCTGGCCCCCTGTACCAGCAGTGAACCTGTTTTGCTTAAGTCTTTGGGATTCAAAATAAATAACCTTCCCTCTAATGCCTGTGTATGGCCTGGATGTTCCTTTACTGAATTCAAATACAAATGGGAAAAGGTTATTATCAGAAGGAAGTGTTTCAAATGAAAGTGAACCAAATCATGGACCCAGACAACTGGAGAAAGGAATACAATATTTATAAAACTGAATAGGAAGTTGCAATCAGTGATCTAAAATAAAACATTAAAAATTAATTCACAGCAAGCCTGTCTGTGCTACAGCAAACATCTCTTTCATTAACAGAGCACTGCTTATTTTTCCAGAATTAGTTTCCCAAATAGGTAAGGAGCTTGTAACAGCTCAGTATTCTGTAAACTACAAAAGAACTAAGTGAGGGATGATTTACAGTTACCTTTACTATTAAAACATTAATGACCTTTAAATTTCAGCCATTAATTATGATTCTAGCTGTTTCTCTACACTTTTTGTCCTTGAGTATTACCAAAGAAATTTAATTCACATGCTGCTTATTCATCTTCATTTGATTATTCAAGTGGTACTATATCATTGGATGAATTTATATGTTGTAGAATATTAAATGTTAGGTAACTATAGGTTTTATTTTAAAGTCTTCATGATTTCATTTCAAAAAATGCATGGTCCACATTTTTTGAGATGTTTTCTCTCAATCTTCTTAGTCATTTCTTTCTCCTCTTCCTCATCATTAATATATTATTATTATCATGCTTTTAATCTTGGAATACACTAAAAGAAAGAAAATTCAAGTTGCCAGTGATATTTTTGCATTCACTATTGAAATGAGATTCTTATTTTGTGCAATTTACACCGTGCTTCTGAATTCCTAAAATAAATAACCTTACAACCTTTAGGTTCTATTGATTTTTTTAGTGATTTCAAATGAAAAGAAGCAACCAATTTTTTTTTTTTTTTTGTATTGGCAAACTATCTACTCACTGGGAAAAGCCTATTGAATTCCTATTAAATAAAGAGGAAAGAAACAACCAAAAATCCAAAAAAAGGGCTTTGAGGTGGAGGGAGATAGTCTGCTCAGTTCAGTAAATGGGTATTTAACCTTTGACCAATGATGACAGGTCTTTTTTACTTCTATTATACCAAGAGCAAGCTGTTATGATTAAATAAAAAAAAAAAAAAAACTGTTTAGAGCCATACTGAATATGTCCTGGGAATTAAAGCATATGGCAGGGATAAGGAAAAAGATTTTCCTTATGCTAATGACCCTTGATGTCTGAAATAAATTAGATCCATTAGAGTTTATGCTCAATAAAAGAAAGACTTTAAGCACTCCAAAGTTAGTGACTCGAGACCAGTTTTTACTCTGAAATTCAATCTGCCTACTTATTAATTCTTTGTAAGACTCCCGAGCAGACAGGAGATGCAGAATCATAATTCTGTGCTGAACCAGAAGTTTAAAAGACCACAGGTTTCTTTTTCTATTCTTCTAATTAAACCATTTTTCATGCCTCTCATTTTGTTTCCCTCATTAATTTGATTTCGTTCCCATTTTCGTTTCATTTTTTGTTTCTTTTCAAGGTTTCATTTATCCTATTTCAACTGAACACAGAACCCAGAATGAATATGGATTTTCTTGTAAGTTGGATGTTTGGTTTTTATGTTGCTGTATAATCATTTAATGTTATTGCCCCCAGTTCAAGTTTACCTTTCTTTCCATCACAGATGTGCACACAGGAAATAGATGCCTAATATATTCTAACATGAAAAACAAATTAGATTTTCACTGCTGAAGAGAAGAAAGGGTCATTTCAAGTCCCTGCCAGCTTTAAAATCTATCAGTCTACCATTCAAAGCTTGAGTCCCAGTGGCTGACAAAACATATCATGAAATACGCTGATATAAATAAAGGGCAGGGGTCAAATGCTAAAAATAAAAGACAGAGAAGATGCAGATCTTTTGAGTGCGAAATCATGAATGTTGAATAAGTAATTACAATCTAGTAAAGTAAAACATGAGCGATTTAGATAGAATGCCCTGACCAGAGTTCAGGATGCCACCACGAGGCCGCCAATAAAATCCAGCAGCAACGTGAAGTCAGCACTCTGGAAGCACTGCTCACACAACAGCAGGATGGGGTATCACCAGTGTCCCAAAATAGGTCAGTTGTGACTCGACTGACAGGGAAGTCAGTATTACGGAAATCTTGGGAAAGATGGTGGTTTACAAATGAAAAGCAATCCTTTCACATTGAGTAAATTTGAACACAAATGCCAGTCGGGAACCCCTTTCTAGTAATTGTATCAGAAATAAAATGACATGAGTGTATTGGTCCCATGAGCCACTGGTAATCCAAGTAAACTGTCATTTCACCACATAAATCATGTGGCCTTGGAGAGAGCAGTGATCCTCCATGTTTACATCATGAGACTTCCACTTCTGAATATCACCCCCCCCCAAAGTATACACCCATATGAAGTTAAGCCTGAAAAGTTTGCTTTTGATCATGTGCAATACCAATTGAATCACCTTTTTTATAGTGAGCAGTGTTAACTTTGTTAAAAACTTTTGTGTGTCATGGAAAACTAAAAACAGAGGCTTAAAGAAGTCAGTGGGGGTTGAGGCAGGTTTAAATTTGTTTGTTTTGTTGTAATTATCAGCATCCATCACCTTTTGCAGTTAGATATAATACATGGTCTGTACCACCAAGGCCACATGCAGCATTTGCAGGGATTTTCTTCTTGGTTTACCCAGAAGCAGACCCCCGACAGACTGAACACTGTGTTGGTCAAATGCTTAATTGCCTTTTGGGGTAGTCTGACCTTTCTGATGACTGAGCCAGCCTTTATCTACTCCCAGCAACGACTAGCTAAAATGGCAATGTCCAACAAGACTCAGTGAGTTTAGGGCTGTAGGAGGTATTTCTGACTCTGTATCCAAGTCCCCAGAGTTATTGCCATTGACCTCTGCTCCCCAGATCTGGTTTTCTCAAAGCACACCTTTCAAATTCAACATATTTGCTTCTAATGTTTGCTTTACTTCGGTATACTGTGCCCACCTGTCCCTTCATTGATTTAGGAAAAGTGAGAAGAATGCTGTGGAAAGTAACTTTATGACTTTGAAGAAATACTTAGAAAAATATTCTGGTTCAATAAATATACAGATTCTAAACATGCCAGCTATTTCTAACAGTGTGTTTATGTTTTTAAAGAACTATCTGTGAATTCAAAACCACCCTCCAAACTTTTTCACCTTTGATCAGTAATAATTATTTTTCCTATGTGGGTTGGGGTAACCACAGCTCTAGTTTGTTTTTATGCCTTCTAATAAATGGTCTGTTATGCTGCCCAATTTAAGATAGATTAGTGGGTGGATAGATGAAGAGTGAGGAGAAAAAAGAAATCACAGAGAATTTTCTGCTGAAATGCCACAGTTGTTTCATATCACCCCCCCACCCCCGCTTCATATCATTTTTGAAACAGATTTAAATTAACCTATAAAAAGGCAATACATGTCTGAAAAAAAAGTTATAGCAATATGTAGTGCTGCAGGAAATTTCTCTAACCAGTTGGTCCAATGTACCCTTCTCCCTTCAAGCTGCTCCTGATTCAGATGATGTCGCTCTGTATGTTGGCATCGTGATAGCCGTGATAGTTTGCCTGGCCATTTCTGTAGTCGTGGCCCTGTTTGTGTATCGGAAGAATCATCGTGACTTCGAGTCTGATATAATTGACTCCTCAGCACTGAATGGAGGCTTTCAGCCTGTGAACATCAAGGCAGCCAGACAAGGTCAGTTAACATTGCCCTTCACTGCGATGTATGCATTTAATCAGTCTCCTTGTATGATTTCAAAACGAGGGGAAAATCAAGTAATCCAATTCAGTTAGAAAGGACACTTGAGGAAGACAGGTATTTTGATCTGCTTTGTTCATTATTGTATTAACTTCATTCACATGAACAAATTAGAGTTGAAAGGCACGCAAATAAATTTCCCCTTCTTTAACAGATTTCCCTGTCATACCTATTAACTTTTAAATGAAAAGAGTGCATGGATTAGTTGAATGATTTTTTTTTTTGAGATTCTTTTGTCTTCCTTTTGACAAGACATCTTGCATTGCTGTGAATATAGTCTTCCACAGATTAATTCAAACTTAGATGAAGGAAATTATTACCAAATAATCACCTGGTGGGTATCACTGTCTTGGAATCCAATTTTTTGAGATTGTTAAATACTTCAGGAGTAATGAGTAGACTAAAAGACAAAATATTCAATGGGTTCATTTATTTATTTGGAGTCAGAAACTAAGGGACCCTAGTTATGTAATGGCCCGATTTTCAACACAACTTTAGTGTGTGTCTGTGTGTGTGTGTGTGTGTGTGTTTAAATAATGTTTACCAAATAGCTTGGATGTTGGCTCTGAAAGTGCTAGGGGTTGTCTAAAAAAAAAAAAAAATGGGAGTTGCCTAAGAAGAGTATGCAAGTGAATTTCCTTTCTCTTTCAGACCTCTTGGCTGTACCCCCAGACCTCACTTCAGCTGCAGCCATGTACAGAGGACCCGTCTATGCTTTGCATGATGTCTCAGACAAAATCCCAATGACCAATTCTCCAATTTTGGATCCACTGCCTAATCTGAAAATCAAAGTATACAACACCTCAGGTGCTGTCACCCCCCAAGATGACCTCTCTGAGTTCGCATCAAAGCTTTCCCCTCAGATGACTCAATCTTTGTTGGAAAATGAGGCTCTCAATCTGAAGAATCAAAGTCTAGCAAGGCAGACAGACCCATCCTGCACTGCCTTTGGCACCTTCAACTCCCTCGGGGGCCACCTTATTGTTCCCAACTCAGGTAACTCCTAAAAACTGAAATTTTAGGATAAAGCTTGGAAAAGTATTTTTTATACTAAGATAGTTTTTGTTTGTTTTTATTAGGCCTGAAATGTTAAATGTAGTCTATCTAACCCAGATCTCTCACCATAAACCAAATGTTGCTTCAGACAAATTCAGCAAAGCCATTTTTCTTCTTCCAAGAAATTCTGAGAACCCTTCTTTTTGAAATATTATACTCACAACTTTCTGCTAAGCTATAATTTAGAACTGCATTGACCTTGTGCTTTATAGCGTTTCACAAGGCAACATCAAGCCAGAAGCTTTCACTACTGCCATCACACTTTTAAAGAATAAATTAATTAAAAAACATCATTTGGTTCAGATCCAACTCATAACAGGAAGCAGTACTTTGGAATACTGACTTCTAGGTGATCAGAGGACAACATAATAGACATCAGGTCTACACTTACTAACTTTTCTCTTTAGTGAGCAAAGTACGTAAAAGGTACTCCCCTATTTCTTAATGCCTGTTTAGAATCCTAGTTTCATCATATGTCCTTTTGCAGCATTACTTAGTTTTAACTTATTTTTTAATGATATGCTTCTAGAGCCACAAACCACGTAAGGGTCTTAAATGTTAATCAATCACTTAAAGTTAGTGATTGATAATATTTTATTTCAGTTCGGTATTCAGTAATCAATGATAGCATGGGTTCAGAATATTGATCACAAATAGGTTAAATCGGTTAGTGGAGTCTTCTGTGAATCTACCTTAGCTTCTTTAGACAAAACTGAGTATTTCATGAATACAACACTAACAAAGAATTTTATTAATCTAAAGTCTTCATGAAGCATATACACTGTGTAGACCATCTAATTGCGAAGTTTATACAGAAATTGTTTCATGTCTGAATATGAACTTTTGTCTTATTCCTCTAACTTTGTCTCCACTTCAACAGCTTGACAATTTTCCACCTCATACTTTTAAGAGGATCATTTAATATATTTACTTAATGGAATATCATTTTCCTTTTTAATACATTACATGTTGAAATCACACACAGACATAAAATACTTTTAAAACATTTTTTCATTAAGTTCTCATACATGCTTATTGTATGTTCTTTAAAAATCATGATTTTAATTATATATTTTAGTAGTTTAGCAACTGGATAAATCAAAATACACTCTATATTTCCATTATTTAAACATGATTTTATTCCCAACGTATTTTTTTTTCATCATATTCATTGGAGTCTGTCTTTCTTTCACATTTCTACACCTCTTACTTTTTCTTATATGAATTATTATAAAAGCTTCTTAAATGAAAACAGGGAGATACCATGTATCATCTGCTTTTCGGGTAGCTGGTAATGGTAATTTGCATGCATTATTTTATAAAGTAGAGTAATATTAGTTACATAATATTTACTTATTCTTGTTATCTTAAATCCATAATTCCATTGCATCCCTATAATAAACACAAAGGTGCATTTTATTATTTCCAATGCAAATAATAATATTTTTTAAAAAAACCTGAAGCATTAGAGTCACCTGTGGGCTTCATACTCCACTCTGTGATCACAGTGCCATTCTGTACACTAATGTGACATTTTAATTCCCCCAACACACCCCTCTCAAAACTCTTCTTCTCAAGAAGATTGTAACTCAACATTGTCAACCAGTCAGACCCAAGCTTACTAACAGATATCCTTATGTGATTCTGTATTCTACATTCTTGAGGCTTGCTGACTTGGTTGGGTAAGCTTCCTTGTTGACCTATGCTCAGGTGGCATATTCCATTTCCTTGCTGAATAACTCAAAAGCCACTCAAAGACAGTAACACAATCTTGTGCTTCTTGCCCTTCATTAAGGGTCAAATAGTGTATTCACAGTGAATTTCCCTAAATTTGTGTTAAGTTGGATTAAACTGCATTTATTGGCATTAAAATCATGAAGCCAAATATCATCAGGTGTTACACACCTGAATCACCCTCTGTGGTGTTGCTGCCTGGGGCAGTGGCCCTATAGTGTGGGTTGCAGACTTTCATATTTGGTATCATCCTGCAATGTATTAGAACTGAATGTTGACTAAGTCTTCTAAATCAGAATCTCAGGGGGAGGGGGGGATATAGAATCTACTTTAACAAATCTTTCAGGTTATTCTGACATTAAATTCAAGTTAAATCCCTGCTGTAGAAAGTTAACATAGAGCAGAGTTCAGTCCAATATGCTACAAAAATCTCACCAATTATCTGAGGCCTCATTAACACCAGTAAGGCCTGAGTTCCATTCCCAGCCAGGTTGCTGACCCACATAGGGTGTGGTAGACTTCTCTTGCCTCTTCCGATGATCCTCTCAGCAGTGTGTTTCAGTAAGTCCATCTGTTTTTCTACCCACACGGTCTCTAGTGAATCCTCTCACCACTGGCACCTCTGGCCTACACACCAGTTCTTATACATAAAAGTAAATGAATAAATCTTAAAAAAAAAAAAAAATGAGTTTGCCCTGCTGTGACTAAACTAGCAGTTACAATTCACTTTCTTGTGTTGTGTGTGATAAAATAAGTTCTTCAAGAATTATTTTGTTATGGAAATCATAATGCTAATCAAATATTTCAGAATAAATGTTGTCTACCATTATTGAGGTTAGCATTTCCCCCTGACTTTGAATCTTGTGGGATTTTTTTTTTTTAATTAGAAACCATGCATCATTACAGCTGTTTGAAATTTTAAGAGCAGTTGTTGATTTTCCCCTCATTTTGCAAGGGAAACAACAGCAGAACCATCTGTCTATTCTTTAAATAAAACAAGAACTTAAAAAATTACATCATTCCTTTAACTAAATCCATTAACAGTTCAGAGGGAGCTGTGGTAACAAATAAGGCCAGTAAGGAAGGAAAGTAAGGCAGCTGTGAACATTTACATGTCTTTAGGGAAAAAGAAGCAGGCTTATGGCTACATACCACAAAATCCCCTCATTCCCTTTCCCTAGCTTCAAAGGCACTCTATGAATTTTCTTTTGATTCATGGGTCTTATGACACTACTTTTCTCTTTTGCTATTCAGGAGTAAGCTTGCTGATTCCCGCTGGGGCCATTCCCCAAGGGAGAGTCTACGAAATGTATGTGACTGTACACAGGAAAGAAAATATGAGGTAAATATACTTTTTTCTGGTACACTTGACTTCATCAATATCTGGTTTGGAGAATTGTACAACAGAAAGGATAAGCTCAGTATATTTTTGTCTTGAGTGTTCTGCTCCCGGCCTTGTTCTATACATCTATAAAACATCAACTTTTACTTCTCTTTATCTTTCAAGCTTCAGACACTTGTAGATCTTGAGTAAAATGGGAGGTCCCGACTATAAAAGTGGACATGTGACAAAAAGACAAAAAGAAAAGATCAAAAATGTGATCCTGTGATTACCCAGTGACCTGAGGGTAGATATACATCTTCTTGGAATCCAGCCTACTGCCACTGCCATGGCTAATATCGCAGAAGTTAGACAACTCCTTGAACCTCTAACCTGCTCCTTCCACCTCAGACTAGTATTTTATTTCATCTGCAGGTTCTTATTTCTGTGACTTGCTTCTAACTTAAGTATCCCCGGTCTCCTTAAATGCAGCACCTATGGAATTTATAACTGGGTCTTTCTAAATGGATCTAGGGTTGATTAAACTAGATTAAATCAAAAGACCCTGCTTTGAATTGTTAAATTATTTTTTAAATTTCATTTGCATATGTTTAACATCATTCTTAATTATTGTGGAATATTTGCTTTCTCCTCTCAGGTATAGTCCCCATAAAATTCCCACCACCAATTCACCTTTGCACCATCACCATGTGTGCTTCCTCCCCTGTCTGAATGTGCCAACATTATAAAGATGAAGTTGTTTTAAGTAAAAATAACAAGAGGAGTTTAGAAGACCTAAATTCAACCACTAACGAGTCATACATGGTCTTTTTTGATTAGTTCCCATATAAAGAGCACATGTTACACTAGCACTTTAAAGACCATTATGTACACTCTGATCCCAAACTAAAAGATGCTGTGGAAACAAAGATCCTCAGGTATAAGTATTTTTGCCTCTCCTGAAAGGGAAGACACATGGGCTCCTCAGCTTTGTTATCTGACTGCAAGTCTGACTGGTGACTATAAAACAAGGTATCGTTAAAATATACTTTACACTGTTTCTCTTCCCCTCTCTGTCCTCAGAGGGAGATGCTCATTTTTTTGCTTCTTTGGTAGACAAAAAGTTCTTCTATTATGCTTTCAGGTAGAAATATTGGCATTTAGACTTAGCATGACCCAGCAAACAATTTCCCTCTAGTTTACCTTACCTACACAGACACTACTGTAAGAAAATGATAAAATTCCATAAACATTTTTTGCACCTTGAATTTTAAAAACATACAATCACTAAAATTCTTCTGTTTTCTCACATCAGATTATTCATCTGTTCACTCTCAATGCCGAGTAGCATTCACAGGCCCTGAGAGGGCTCTTCTTTTGCAGAAGGTTAGCAAACTTGAAAGTGCCCCCGTTTTTCTTCTTTCTCTTGTCCAGAGCCTAGGTTACCCTCCATTCAGGCCTTCACCAACACGGACATTTTGTTTAAACAGATATAAATATTAGTGGCGCTTTGTGCTGTGAAGCAGTGAGGTGTTTGTGGTCTTATTTCCCGTCTGATGTCTGCTCAGCCTTGTTGTTAGCTGAGAATGGGTCAGCGCTGCCTCTCACTGAAAAGGAAAGGCCCCTGCACTCAGTGTCTCCAGGGCTTTCCTTTCATATGTAGTCAGCATCCCCACCAGGATAATGGTACATTTTAGATGAAGGAAAGAGAAAACAGAAAATTGATAAAACTGGAGACTACTGCTTTTAGATACCTCTGCCTTTGATTCTAAAGGAATAAAAACTCTAAAGTCACTCTGCTGTGCCAACCAGCAGAAGTCAGTTGCAGAGGGAGTTGATTTACTGAATGGGGAATGAATCAAAGAAGCTCTATTTATCAAGATGAAATTAGAGTAACCTCAATATTTCATTAGCAAATATGCATAAAAGGCTATGAAATAAGGAACGTACACAAGAAAACAACTGTGTTAAATATGAGAATGTCCTCTCTACTGTTTCTGCTCTGAGCCAAATGTGTTTATCTTGAAAATACAATGATAAGACTGTGCTTTAGAATATAATAATAATATAAAGCATATTTCCTCTTTATTCGGTATACTTGTAATTCCATTTATTCCCCATTGCCCTCTGCAAGTTTTGATGAGTTCTACTTCAAGATAAAGAAACTAGGGTTTGGAGAAATGAAGCCACACAGCCAAGGCATCCTACAAACAATTGAGTTCACCCCACATTTTCTCACCCACCACTCTTGTTTTTTCTACCTGTCATCCTCGAAGCAGAAGCCACTCGGACCTCAGCCATCTTACCACAGCGCCTTCCTGTCAGTGGCTTCCTAGAGCTCACTAATGCCCTTTTCCTCCCTCATGTGATCCAAGATGAACTTCTTTCAGAGAAGACTCTGTGCTGATGTCAGAAGATAAGGACGTTGCTTCCAGGCAGTTACAGGAAACGTCTGATCACTTTTCTCCAGTTTCCTTCTGTCTGATTCCCCTGATTGCATCCCAAACTGTGTGTTTCTCCAGCTGGATAGCATCCAGTTGGTCATCTGTTAATGTGAACTGCCTAAAGGGAGGTGTGAACCTAATTACATGAGACACAGTGAATGTGACAAGAGTGCCCTTATCTTTGCTGCAGACATGCTAAGAGGAAGCTGAAGGGCAGATGAGCAGCTGAAATGGGACAAGCTGTCTCTGACAGAAAAGAAAGCCAAGCTGCCAGGCTCTGCTTGCAGTTCTCTCCTCCTGGCTGCCACAGCTCTCTGTGGATCCAATTTGTGCAGTGAGGACTTTTTGCCTTGTTTCTAGTACCAGTTTAAAATAGGAGTGACTCAGACTGAAATCATGTCCTTTGTCAGTTCTTAGTGAAAAACAAATTGAATTGACAATACAAAAGTTCATCTTCCCTTTCTCTGCATTCTGCACATTCTTAGTAGTTTCCTCAAAAGGCCAAAAAAATCAATATGGACATTTCAAATATAAAGGTGAATAGAAATTTTTTGTCAACTCTAGGGGACCATGGGAGGTTTCTGAGCCGCCAGGTGATTCAGGAATGGCAGTACCTTGGGAAGACTGAGCTGGTGATATCAGCAGATGAATTGTAACAGGGAATCTGCCCTTAAAGCTGGGGTCCTGCTTACACTGTGACAATAATCCAGGAGAAGGAGAAGAAACCGGGCCTGGATGTTAGGAGGATGGAACGTGAAAGGTGTTTTAGGAGAAAAAATGTGTTTCTCCAATGGCTAAAGGGGCAGTAAAGAGTGGCAAAACACAAAGCATATATCTGAGAATCCAGCTTGAGCACTGTAAGAACTGTGAATGAGGCCAGGCAGAGCTGCTGGGAGTCAGGTGGAGAGGATGAGTTTGATTTTGATGCCCGCAGAGTGCACAGGTAGGGATGTGGGATTTGTGCCTGAGTGACAGCTGGGGCGTCACCAGTAAGGACCTTCTTCCAGGAAGAGTGTTCAGAGACAACTGAGGGAAGGATGTTAGGAAATACTTTTATTTCAGGTTTAGCTTTGATGACATTTAATGAGTTTATTATTACTGTAATGACATTTAATGAGTTATTTTTTAAACTTTCATTAACATTTATAGCACTGTAGAAGCTTAAAATGTGTGGTATTATAAGCTAGCAGATACTGAGTTCACCACTAAAACTTAGATCTAAAGATGAATGACATAGTATAATATGAAGTCATCAAAGGTAATGAGAATGTCAAAATGGAGTACATGGTATGTCCGAATGTTACAATTAAAATGTAGAGAAAGAAAAACAATTAAACATTTGATGTTTCAACAGTCAGATTTTGATTGTATTTTAGGTAATTTTTAAAAGCTCAAAAGGTTTAAGGAGTGAGTTAGTGGTGAGGCAATTACAACATCATTGTTTTTACAGTATTTAAATGATAAAACAATGTGAGGGTGAAGGACAATAATTCTCTCATGTAGTTAATCATTTATTTTAATGTGGTGGTTAGAACTTTGTGACACAACAGTTGATATTGTTACTTCTTAGTGCACTTTAATGATGCTCAGTTTAAAGCAACAGCTGTCAAAAGTTTGCTGAGGAGGGGGCAGGCATGGAGTCCAGGTATATTTAAGTCTTATCCTTTCACTGTACTACAAAGTGCTCATTTATCAAAAGTCTACTTATAAAAAGGGAATCATGGCAGATTACAAGGTCCATGGGAGGAAAAAATCTGCCCTAAAGCAGAGTAATTATTTCTTCTTTGGTTCTTCATAAAGAAGACATTTTGTTAATATTGATAAGCAACGTCCTTAAAATAAAAATAGCAATGAGTTTCATAGAGCTGCTTCTGTTAGTGTCCCTTGTTGTAATTAGATCGTAGAAGGCCAAGTGTACATTCAGTGAAATAATTCAACCAGGAACCAGCAATTCAGGCAAGGGCGTAACAGTTAGCCGTTCCTGTTTAATCCAGGGATAGATCTCAGCCTTTGAAGGAAATATTGGGCACACCCTTCAGATGGGCTTCCATAAATAATTATTTCTTTGCTCAGTTGAGCTTTTGAAAGCAAGTGAGTTAGATTTTTCCTGTCAGATGCCTAGAGTGCTGATATTTCAAGGTGCCAGTTATGTGAAACCATATGCTTTAAAAGGCAGCTGAGCCTGAGGTAGGATTGTCATCCTGAGGGACCTGCAGGGGACATGTGTATGGCTAGAAGGCCTCTCCCATCCCCACACAAAGGGAGATGGAGAGCTTTTCGTAAGGCAGTTTTGAGCTCATTCTAACAAGCAGACCAAAAAATAACCCCTCAAGGCCTAAAAGCATGAGGAAACCCCAAATATACCATCAGCAAAAGAAACCAGAGGACTGGTGATTGAAACCCAGCTTTGCCTGCAGCCAGCTTTGTGGGTTAGGGAAAGTGCGTTAATATCTAGCTGTTAGTGCCCTCTTTTAGACAAAAAGGTAGTGTAAGTACTCACCTAACTCCTTTACAGGTATGCCGTGGAAGGCAAATGCAGCTAGCTGCCTTTGTGAATGTTTTATAAGTTACCTATGATAGAGTGAAGTTCTCCTCTCTGACAACAGCAAGCAAAGGAGGGGATACTCTGACGGGAAACTAAATTTTTTCTCTGAGGGCTCTGCCCTAGCAGTCTGAGGCTCTATCTAACAAAGAACTTGGTGTTATCCTTGTCAGATTATGAAAATTTTCATCACTTATCATTGTTGCATTTCTACTTATTTGCCACTTCTACAACTAACTTTTGCTTCTGAATTTAATATTCACAGAAAAATTTATTTAAGTAGTTTAGGTCTCATGAGACATAAAAGTGTAAGTCTCTCTCTACAAAAACAAATTAGAATATTTAACTTTTACTACTTTGTTGGATGTATGTAACATCCTTCCTTTTATAAATAAATGTGCATTTCAATACTCTGGCCTTCAGTGTCACAGTGTTAAATCTTAACCTTTCCTAACTTAACTTCTATATATGCTTGGAAATGTTTCCAATTTCAGCGCTACTTCTTTTATCTTGGAAACACATCAAGAATCTTATTGTTTCTCTCTTGTTTTTCATGCCCTGTTATGAATTCCACTTCAACCACTTTCCTATTCATTACATTCTCCCACCTCACTGGGTTAATAAATTCTTTTGACACCTACTGCCCCTCTCTTCCCTTGCTCTCCCTCCTCCAGAATGGTGCCCATCAATATTGCATGGAGGGGTGTGCTGGGAGAGCACAGGTCTGACAGCTCCCCAACCCAGCAGGGAGTCTTCTCCCTTCTGTTCCACTCAGTGATGAGAAGAGACCCTCCTCCTTCTGCCTCGAGCACCGGCTGCTGACAGCAGACTGAGAGACAGATGTTTCCAATCCCACTATATTGCAAAGACCACTTGAAATGGATTTCACTTTAGTCTCCTTCCTTAAAAGTTTAATGCTCTCTTCTCAAGGTATAATTGTAAGTAAAAGGTAAGAGAGTTTCAGGAAAGCACAGTCATTGCTTTTTCCCTCGTAGGAAAAGTAAAATTAAATAAGTATAAGGTAAGGTTACTGCTTAGGGAGGATAATGTGTTATCAACTAAGCCACAGTGAAAAAAAAAAAAAAAAAAAACAAAAAACAACTTCCCTCATGTTATATGAGAATGAATTTCACAGTGGAAGGAAGGGGGAAAACTGGATTTAGAGGAAATTAAAATCAATTTTGTTAGAGGAGCAGGTGATGAGTTTTCAAGGTACCAATCATCTACGAATTCTTTATATTTCCATGTATTTTGACAACCTTAGATTACATAAAACAATTGTTATTCATTAAGAATGGAGACAATATTAAAGACTAAGGCAAGATTTTTTTTTGTCTTTGTTTTTTTAAGTTTCTAAATTGGAAGGTGAAGAAGCAATATGTTGGCGAATGCCTCATGAAATTTTGGAGTGAGAGAGAGCACACATTGATAGTTGAGTGTTGTTAAAGGAAAATTTGACATATTTCATTCATTCTTACGACTGATCATAATTGTCAAAAACTGAGAAATTTCGAAAATTCGAATTTACTTGAGAGCTTCCAAGTTGACTGCCAGTGTTTTGTGATGTTGATGGATGGCACAAAACTCCTGTGTCAGAGCCATTAGTCATGGTTCTCACACTCTCCAGGCAGTCATCATTTTGTACAACCTCCTAAACCTCCGTTGTGAGAAGGTGATGGAGAGAGGGCCAAATGACATTGTACTTGGTGGTTGCATTCCAGAAAAGACCCTGAGTTTAGGGGACCTGTGTCTTTTGACTGGGAAGTGTACATGTTCAGTATGGCTACTGAACATGTCATCCAGGAATAGACATTTTTGCAAAATCCTTGATTAAAAAAATAGAAATGTGCAGAGACATGAGAGATCCTTGGGGAATTACCAGCCAACAATATAGAAAATAGAATACCTGCTATTGAGTGTTAAATGAGAGTAAGATATAGATATGAATGAACTTCTCAATTACATAATTCATAAACCATAAGCAAAGACCAGAGAAAAATCCATTTCAAGTGGTCCTCATAATTATAAAATAATTCTATATTCCCTTTGTAGTACCCGTGTGAGTAAAGTTGGAAAGATATGAACAGGGCAATATACATTTTAATGGACTTTTATTTGGCTGAACTAAATAAATCACAGTATTGATGTCAGACTGGAGAGAGGTTTCAAGTTGTGCCCTTGAGAAGGTTTCTGTTTTTGCCCTGCTCTTGCATTATAGTGTTACCGATGATTGGAATGAAAACATAAATTGAGGAAGGATAAAAGAATGGTAGAAATGGCTGCTATTTGGAGAAAAGACTGCATTGAAAAATAGATGGCCTGGAATTTTCCCTGAAGCTATTAAATTAAATAGCTAAATATGAATTTCTGTACTTAAATTCAAAAGCCATCAATACAAACCACAGGATTATAGAGACAGAAAATTAGGAGTACAAGAGTGGTTATCTTTACCAATTGCTTAAACTTCTTGGGGCTTCACCGTGGCATTTTTTTATAGGAGCAATTAACCATAGTATCTCTATCTTCTCATCTAACTTAAAGACAATAAATAATATTTATAATTGCTTGTTTGAGATGACACTAACATAGTAACTTTAGGAGGTGTTTATATAAATGCATAATCCAACTCATAGAAAATAGTAGTCCCTCTATTTTTCTGCTTAAGTTCCATGTTCATTTCAGGGTGCCCCACTTTAGTGAAGACATTGAAAAACTAACAGACATCTTTATGAAAAGGAAAATAGAATTAGAAAAAAGATCTGAAGCCTATGCTTTTCTAGTTGATGTTGAAAAAAAAATATGACTGTTTGGTCTGGAAGAAAGAGAGTTTAGCAATGTCATAACAATCTCTAAATATTTAAAAGGATTTTGTGCCAAAATGGAGAGGAAGTAGGTCAAGGCTATATGTAAAGAGATGTTAGAATGTGTTCACTCTAAGTTAGACTGCTTTGGAACTCTGAGTTGATAATAATGATGTGCTTCCATGGTAGCAGAACACAGGTCTGGATGTGTCTAAGACACCCTCTAAACACAAGTCAGCATGTTGCAGAAAATACCTGCTTTGAAAGGAAGGTGGT